CATTAGTATTAAGACATTATGTAAGATAACAGTAATGAAAACTACAGATTTAACTTTTTTCTTTGTTACAGCATTGTTACTATCGCAACACTTCAGTGAGTGACGAGATTTTCGTTGTTTATCGACCAGTGATGAATAAAAGGACCTAAGTCGGACTGACAGAACTGACCTGTAGCGTTGTTACTTTTTGACAGCTACAAGGATTCTGAATTATCAGGATTCGCTCTGAGGTTCTGGTAACTTTCCTTCGACTTTGTTTCCCATCAATGCGATCGATAACATACAAAAAAGTACTTATCTAGTAGGAAGTCTACTGCATGTTGTTGTTAGGTCACTCCCGTTTCTGTGTCTACGTGTAATATGTGTAACTTTAGTTGGAAAATTTGAGGCCCCAGTGAATGATAGGCACAGGCCAAATGGCCTTCCTGGCCTTCCCTGTAATAGGGCCTGTGTGTCACTTTACATTTTAAGGATAGGAGGTGTTTGTTTTGATGCCGATGAAGAGCTCTTGATTCGAAGAACCGGAGCAACCCTTCCATTTTTTGGATCAAACCTGACTATTTATCATTTGACGGGCGCTATATCGATCTAATAACCTTAGTGTTTTCTTATGGAGGGTAGGCCTACTTCCACTAACGAGCTCCTGCGTCTTCATACATTTGTGCTTCCTCACTTCTACCTCCTGTATAGGTCTCTGACCTCGTGCCTCTGCTTTAGGATCAGGGACTGACCACCTTTCATCAAGGCTAAGGGATTGATAATATCAAAATTACATCTCCACTTTTGTCATCATTGCTACAATCGCCTCTATTTGACAGAATTAGCTTGTTGTACAAAGTGCTCTACATGTGTTCTTTTCACCCAAAGAGAAAGGCAAGAAAAGTTAGACAAGAACAAACAACTGATCGACCGCAGTTCACCAACATCAAGATACCCATCTTGAAGGAAACTAAAGATACATTATCAATAAAAATATTAAGTGTGGAATTTGTTAATTTGTGTAAGTGCTTTACGTGTGCAGCAGTGAATGACTGGAGGGTGGTTAGCCTTATTGCTGCCCTAGTTGGGGTGGATGTGCGTATCAGCGTTGCCTTGGGAGGGAACTACTTTGGAAACTTACCTGGTATATATTACCTGGAGTTTACCTGGAGAGGGTTTCGGGCGTCAACGTCCCCGCGGCCGGGTCTGAGACCAGGCCTCATGGTGGATCAGGGTCTGATCAACCAGGCTGTTACTGCTGGCCGAACGCAAGCTGACGTACGAACCACAGCCCAGTTGGTCAGGTACTGACTTTAGGTGCCTGTCCAGTGCCTTGAAGACAGCCAGGGGCCTATTGGTAATCCCCCTTATGTATGCTGGAAGGAATGTTGCATCTCCTGCCGAGTCTTTTGCTTTCAGTGATTTTCGTGTGCAGGTTAAGTACCAATCCCTCCAGGACCCTCCAAGTGTATATTATCATGTATCTCTCTCGCCTGCGTTCAAGGGAATACAGATCAAGGACCTTCAATCGTTCCCAGAAGTTTAGGTGCCTTATCGCACTTATGTGTGCCGTGAAAGTTCTTTGTACTCTCTCCAGGTCTGCAATGTCGCCAGCCTTGAAGGGGGCCGATAGTGTACAGCAGCATTCTAGCCTATATATCACAAGCGATTTGAAGAGAATCATCATGGGCTTGGCGTCCCTAGTTTTGAAGGTTCTCATTATCCATCCTATCATTTACCTAGCGGATGAGGTAGATAAATTGTTGTGGTCTTTGAAGGCGAGATCCTCTGCCATTATCACTCCCAGGTTCTTCACATTACTTTTCCGCTCTATTGTATGGTTGGAATTTGTGGTATACCCTGACACATTTTTAATTTCTTCAAGTTTTCCAAATCTGAGTAGTTGAAATTTCTCCTCGTTGAACTTCATATTGTCCGCTTGGAGTCTCGCAGTGTCTTCGATGGAGGTTACTGCCATGGTGATCCGGGTGTCATCCGCAATGGAAGACACGGCTTACATCTCTGTCTATGTCAAAAATGAGGATGAGAAATAGATGGGAGCGAGTACTGTGCCTTGTGGAACAGAACGTTTTACCGTAGCTGCCTGGGACTTCACTCCGTTTACTATTACTCTTGTGTTCTATTTGTCAGGAAGTTGTAGATCCATCTACCAACTTTTCCTGTTATTCCTTTATCCCGCATTTTGTGTGCTATTACACCGTGGTCACACTTGTCGAAAGCTTTTGCAAAGTCTGTGTATACTACATCTGTATTTTGTTTATCCTCTACAGCATCCAGGACCTTGTCATAGTGGTCCAGTAGCTGGGGCAGGCAGGAGCAACCTGCTCTAAACCCGTGTTGCCCTGGATTGTGTAAATGATGGGTATCTAGGTGGTTGGCTGTCTTGCTTCTTAGAACCCTCTCAAAGACTTTTATGAAATGGGATGTTAATGCTATCGGTCTGTAGTTCTTTGCAATTGCTTTACTGCCACCTTTGTGGAGTGGGGCTATGTCTGTTGTTGTTTTTAGTGTGAGTGGGATGACCCCTGTATCCATGCACCCTCTCCATAAAATGCTGAAAGCACGCAATGAACAATGAGTTCTTGATGAACACGGAGTTCCACGAGTCTGGGCCTGGGGCAGAGTGCATGGGCACGTCATTAATTGCCTCTTCAAAATCTTGTGGAGTTAGAATAATATTCGAGAGTTTTGGGATGACAAAATTTTGGGTTTCGTTCAAAAAGAATTCATTTGGATTGTCGACCCTTAGAGTGTGCAGTGGCTCGATGAACATTGAGCCATATTGGGACTTTAGCATCTCACTCATTTCTTGGCTATCATATGTGTATGTCTCATCCCGCCTAAGCAGGGGCCCAATACTGGATGTTTTTTTTCCCTTAGATTTGGCATACGAGAAGAAGTATTTTTTTTTTCAATTTCCTTTATGGCTTTTAGTTCTTCCTGTGATTCTTGTCTCCTATAAGATTCCTTCAGCTTAAGTTCGATATATGCAATTTCAAGGCAGATGTTCGGGTCCGTGTTGTTTAGGATATCTTCCCAGCTTGTTTCATTTAGGACATGGTTTACTTGATCCCATTGTATGTTTTTGTTATTGAAATTGAATTTCGTCAAGAGACCTTCAGGGGCTCTGGTGGCCTGGTGGTTAACGCTCTCGCTTCACACGGTGAGGGCATGGGTTCGATTCCCAGCCAGAGTAGAAACATTGGACGTGTTTCTTTCCACCTGTTGTCTATGTTCCCCATCAGTAAAATGGGTACCTGGATGTTAGTCGACTGGTGTGGGTCGCATCCTGGGACACTGACCTAAGGAGGCCTGGTCACAGACCGGGCCGCGGGGGCGTTGACCCCAGGAACTCTCTCCAGAAACTGCTCACATTTTGCTGGTCTGGAGCCCTGTGAATACGTGTTTGTACCTCTGTTATGTTGTGATCTGAGTGAATTGTCTTTGATACAGTTACATTACAAATCAGATCATCATTGTTAGTGAAGATGAGGTCCAGCATATTTTCTAGTCTTGTAGGCTCTAATATTTGCTGGTTTAAGGTGAATTTGTTGCAGATTTAATAGTTCGTGTGTGTGTGAATTTTCATCTTAGCTGCCTCCCGGGGTGATCTCTGCTAAAACAATGTTTGCTATACTCCATCATTTTAGGTGTCTTAGGTTGAAATATCCTAGTAGTAAGATATTTGGGGCAGGAGTTGGGAGATTTTCCAGACAGTGGTCAATTTTCTGGAGTTGCTCTGGAATTGCTGGGAAGTTGCATCTGGAGGCTTATGTACTACCACAATGACAAGGTTTTGGTTGTCGATCTTTACCTCCAAAACTTCAACTACATCATTTGAGGTGTTTAGTAGTTGTGAGGAAATGAGCGACTCTGTGACGTACAGGCCAACCCCCGCTTGTTGCCTGTTTAGTCTGTCGCATCGGAATAGGTTAACCTGGGATCCATATTTCGTTGACATAATGATCCTTTATGTGGATCTCTGTGAAAGCTGCAAATGTTGCATTTGACTCCATGAGCAGTCCCTTGATGTAAGAAATTTTGCTGTTTTTTGACGGCTTTAGACCATGTATGTTTGCAAAGACAAATGTCGTATTGGTGGAATTTAGTTTTTTTTTTTTATTTCCTGGCTCTAATATCTGTTGTTCTGGGGTAGAGGCCAATGTCCGTGTCTCTGTTCCAGAAGTGTTTTCAGGTGGTGTAGAATTATTGTCATTTCTTGCCAGTCTTTTTTCCCTTCTGGCCCTAGAAAACCTCTGTCCCTGGAGAGGTTGTGGCTATTCTCTTTTGTTTCGCATAGTCTGGCTGGTCTGTGTCTTCTAGTCCCCTTTAGATGATGTGTCTGGCAGTATGTTTTGTAGCATTTTCTTTCATGGATTAATGAGTCACACTTTTCTGGGTGAAATAAGCTGCAAGAAGGGAAGTTGCACTCTCCTGTTGTCATGTGGGTGAGGCATTTTTTGGGATGGTCAAAGGTGCATGACCCACATGTTTTACCAGATTTACCGTGCCTGCAGATACCAAAGGCATAATATTTACATAGATTATATTTCTGTTTGCTAGGATTTATTGTAGCTGCGTTCACTGCCGGTGCATTAGTTTTTCCTGTTTCCACAATATCTTTTACCCCTGGTCTATATGGCGATTCACTTGAAACTTACCTGATATATATTTCCAATCACTTGAAACTTACCTGGTATACATTATAAATCACTTGAAACTTACCTGGTATATATCGCGAATCACTTCTACTCGCGTTGTAAGTGTTCCTGTCCTCGTGATACTTTTTTATATAACTGACCCCATAATTTTCATGTTAATTAGCTGCATTGACTTCGAGTAAAAATTTGTGTTTAAGATCTCATTTAATTTTTTTCTCTGGTTTGTAATTATTTCTTTTCACGCAGAAAAGAGGTATGTTCTTTACGAAATAATCCATACATCTTCTTCCATCACATTTCAAGGTATATTTTTTAGTCACAGAGAGTTAAACACGCGTAATGGTGAAGAAAAGTATACGTGGTGGAGTCACCCTCCATTCACAGCATCGAGAGCAGGTGTGGCAGTCTGGGGAAATAGAATCCAGAAGCTTTTATTTCCAGTAGCAACCACAGCCGGTTAATAAACATAGCAAAATAAAGCTAATCGAAGTGGGTTATTTTCATTAGGCTGCATTAAAGTCCTGTAGGATGTGACCCACGACAATCGACTAATAAATTTATTCTGTATGTTCATGAGACCCTGTTTAAGCAGAGAGGAGCTTACGACGACGTTTCGTTCCGACTTGTAAATGGTCCAAGTCGGACCTAAACGTTGTGGTAAGCTCCTCTCTCCTATGTGCCGGGTATTTGTATATTATTCTAGTCACGACATTGTGCCTTGCTATTATTTACACTCGACTAACTCCTAATTGCTGGGTAACCGAGGCAGCAGGTGCTAGGAGACTAGCTCATACATCCAACCTCATCTAGGGTACGACTCTGGGTTCACTCAACTATGAGCAGATTTCGTGATCACTGAGGCCAGGATCTATCTATAGACCCTTACTAACGAAAAACGGTAGACCATACACTGATTTACACAATAATTCAGTGCAAATAAATACATTAAGACATTGTCTTTTCGTTACAGTGTTTCAGTAAAGAGGATGACGAGTATATGGTGGATGGTATTTCCATTGTCTGTTGTTGTGTGTTGGGGAGATGTGCAGATACCAGCACCTGTTGGTAGGTCATACAATGTACTTGTATATGTAAGTTGTGTAGATACCAGCACCTGTTGGTAGGTCATACAATGTACTTGTATACGTAAGTTGTGTAGATACCAGCACCTATTGGTAGGTCATGCAATGTACTTGTATATGTAAGTTGTGTAGATACCAGCACCTGTTGGTAGGTCATACAATGTACTTGTATATGTAAGTTGTGTAGATACCAGCACCTGTTGGTAGGTCATACAATGTACTTGTATATGTAAGTTGTGTAGATACCAGCACCTGTTGGTAGGTCATACAATGTACTTGTATATGTAAGTTGTGTAGAAAACCAGCAACTGTTGGTAGGTCATAAAAGTTACTTGTTTACCGATATTTGGGGTCAAGCGGGCCCG